TGGTAGTACCCTCATAATATCAGAGCAAGATGGTTATAAGCCAAGATTTGGAGTACAATTTTCACCTCTTAACGGACTTTGATTACATTTCCTGAACATAATCTCTAGGTTGAGAATAGACTGCTCTGTGTAAGAGTCTGTAGTGTCTGCTATAGACTACATTAACCACATATAATTTATAACATGCTGAATTGAGGCTGGCTGATCTTTTTTTTTTTGATGCTTTGTCACTTTGGATGGAAAATAGTCAAATAGGAGAGGGCCTTGCCCATCTAAAGCATCTGTTACAGCATCATCAATATCTGTGTAAAGAAGATATAAGTGTGTCCATAACAGGCAGCAAACTGTCCAGAGACAGCCTGAAAACTGGCTTTGATGGTGTTTTAGTGTAAGAAAAGAGCCTTCCTTAATTTGGGTTTGCCTTTTCAACCAGCGGTACGAAATCGGATGATACTTCATAAACTTATCTGTACTAACATACTCCACAGCTTTTATGAAAATAGTTCATTTTATAATACTTAAACCCTGCATGTCTCTGAGTTCTCAAGTGCTGTGAAAAAAACTCCCTGCAATGGGCGCTGTATACGTGGCTTTAATTATCTGCAACGTGTGTCACTTTTATTGAGGATGTTCCCAGGTGCCTGTTTGCTGTGTGGACTGGAAGTTCCCCGGAGGATTGCTGACAATCATTAGTCCCCATGGAAGAAAGCCTGCTCTAGTGCAGCAGGTTTGTTTGGACTGAGGACCTGAACAAGCCACTCGGAGGCGGTGAGCATTACAAGCTCAGAAAAAAAGATCCAGGCTTAAAATGTCACCCAATTAATCTCGCTTTTGTCACCACTGCTGTATTTTTTTTTTCAGGCTGCTGAAAACAAGAGCCATAGGCCTTACACCCAGGGTATGCAAGAATGTTTTTCATACACTGCCATCTGCCGTTAGCGTGCCCTTTTCATCACCACTCCGTGCCTCTCTGGGCTTTATTCCAGCAGTAAGCATATCCTTTCCAAGAATTCTGTTAAAAGTGCAGTTAAGTTGGAAGAACTGCATTAATTCATATGTGCGCTGCCTCAGGCGGCATGCAATGAAATTCTAACAACTCTGCTTTCAATTGTGGCAGTAGCCAAATTAGTGTTGTTTTTTCTCCCACTTAATTTACTTCAACAGTAAGTTTGTATCTTGATTCAGACCATAGCCAGAGCATTCACGTTCTAAATCAGCAATAAATTTACAGCAAAACATACATACAACATATCACAAACTTTGCATGTATTTATACATAACAAAATTAAAAAGGATCATGTCAGTGCATGAATACCTCTACATATACTGCCCTACTTATTTAAACAGCTGTTTCAGAATATGCATGTTTAGTTGCAGTTTGCATATATATCTAAGCTATGGATTTGACTCCAAAATCTGATCACTTAACATGTTGTTCCCTAAATCTGTATTATAAAAAATGGAACGTAATTTTTCAGAAGGTGGCAGGAAAGTAAAACAATTTGTGTGTAACTGAATAAGAGGTGATCACCGTGAGCTGGAGAGTGATCCTGAAGCAGTTGGGCACACATGGCAGTCAGATAAACAGTGACAAACCAGTTGGCAAGATGCTAAAAAACCCATTCAGGCTAAAGGTATTTAAAACCTGCGTGCATGCCTTGTCTGAAAGGGAATCTCCGGGCTTGGATACTCATCTGTAATTCAGTAGATCTAGGCCAATTCCTAGCTGTCTTACTTCCTCCACAATCTAGGGCAGCTCTCTTAAGCTCTGCCCCTGTAGGTCAGCCCAGCAAAGCTAATTAAGTTACTTTCTCTCCTGCCTCTGTCTCTCCTGCCTAGTTCATCTGCAAGATCTATAGGCAGACATGTTTCTATGTACATAACTGCCATACAGGCTCATTACTGTTTTGGGCTTGGCATCTTCTGAACATGACTTAAATGCTTCTAGATCTAAGCTGACCAGGGAGAAGCTTCATGCTTCCAGGGCCTAAAGCAGCATGGCCTCCCCTGAACCTGGAATCATCACAGACAGCAAGAGGCACTATCCAGGACAAAATGCTGCCTGGATGAACTCCTCACAGTTAACAAAGTACAAGCAAAGGAAAATATTTCTGTGTCCAGAGAGAACAAAATAAGCATGTAAAGTGGAAGTGGTGAGACTTAAACATGTGAAAGCAGCTCAAAATCTGTGCTTGTTCCAGCAGGAGGTTAGCTCAGAGAATATGTGGGATTCACAACAGTCTCTGAAGAACAGAAACTTTTGCACAGCAGCAAGCTATTCAGCCTGAACCCAGTACAGAATTCCAGCTCCTGGTTATAAACATTTGCATTGGAGAAGGAAAAAAAGGATGTTGTGGACTAATTTTTCAGAACTTGCTCACTGTGTGTGATTGCTCTTTAGTCAGTTTGATGCTGTAAGGCACTGAAGCTTATTTCCACTGGTCACCATGGATTTTTATATTCAAAAAGGATTCATGGATTTTTATATTCAATACAAGGCTGTATTTCTATATTCCACAGACTATTTCTATATCCTTACTTAATGTACTATGGAAATCTAGGGGCAATGTAATTCCCCAAGAAAAACTGTACAGCCACCTTGAAACTGGCTGCTGATATTGTTCAATATGTTTGAAGCAGAATATATGCAAGAACCTCCTTTCACTTGCATCTCTCAAGGTTGCCACATGCAAAACAAACAAACAAACAAAATCATACAGCATCCGGGTCTATTTGTACATTTGATTAATCCTCTGTTTTTCCTCTCAGTTTGCATCTTTTGGTAAGTTATTACCCTTACTTATCCAAAATCCACTATAAATGTAAAATTTAAACTTTGAATCTAGAAATACTAAACCCTCAGTTTGAAAACAAAAAGTCCTTCCAAGACACTTGTAGTGAGCGTTGTTGATGCTTCCTTTAAGAGTAACAGTAGAGTTGCATAAATCAACACACTTTGAAGCTTTCTCAGTATAGTGAAGCTTCAGTGCCAAAGAACAGCTTTGAAAAAACTAGAGACATCTTAACAACCATTTGGCTCAGGTACTTCAATAGAACATATCTAGAGCATTTAGAAATCTGTGAGTGCTTGTAAATATCTAGCCACCAGCTCTCACAGAGGAACCACCTCACCACACACAGCAGAATTACTCCTGCACGTATTAGTAAGTTCTGGGCCTTGACTTTTAAGCAACAGCCGAAGAGGAGGAAGAGCTAGCTGCTGTTTGTACAAATCTGTCCTGTTCTGAATTTAAGCTGTAGGTAGCAGAAGACATGCTAGCGTAAATTCAGTATTCCTCCTAAAAAAATATAGTGAAAATAGGTTAGAAATAATAGAAATAATTCTTCAATTTCAGCTGTGTGCAAGCTGAAATGCTGAGAAGCACATGAACGCATGTACTTTGCTAACTGGCCAAGCGAACAGACATCCTTTCAGCAGTATGGTTGTAGCGTAAACCAGTATCCAGAACCATCCCCTGGTCCTTCAAGTATAACATTCACTTCAGACTGAAGAGTCCATATTGTTAGCAGCTCTAACAGAACCTCTTCATGCGTTCTGAACACATATAGCACACACAGAGCAACCGAGTGCAGCATTTGGCACTGGCACAGGACTGGTACATCCCGCATCAGGATGTTCGCACACCCACTCTGTTGTAGGTGAACTCTCAATGTCATTTTTCACTCTCAATACCAAGGCATTTGTTTCTTTCTTTTCAGATTGAGTGATACTATTTTTTTATTTAAAAGATAATAAAAAGCAACTGTGAGCTGCTTTCTACCATAAGAAAAAAAAAAAAAGAGTATCGGAGCATTGTAGAAGATTCGTATCACAATGTCTAGAAATGTCAATGAATATATAAAAATGGCACATGGGGCCAAAAAGCAGTCATCAGATTGAGTATAACACCAACGCATGAAGTTAAGCAGGAAGGAGACTAGTCACAGCGGGGTTTGCACGGGCACTCCCTGTGCAAATCAGTGTTCCCAGTAAAGCGAGGTCTGTGACAAGGCCAGGCACACACACCAAGCAGGGCTGTGCACAGGTGGGCATTTCAAACCCATGAGCGCACACAGATGCGGCTCACCTCGTGAATGGCACAGCACCAGCACCCAGAGGTTGTCACCCAACAGGAACCTGTTTCAGTTTTGTAGGCTAGACCTCCATTTAAGAAGACAGTGGCTCCGTACAACTCTATCCCAAGACTGCACACTGCTGTAGAACAGCTTTTACTTGTATGCAGAAGTGATCCACCTCTCGGTTTCTTCACAGCTTTCCCACCTGGCCCTTTTCCTGAACCCTTGTTCTTGGACAAGAAATGTTTGGCTTAGCTCCAATTGAATGCTTAATTATTTAGAAATCAAAGTATATCCAATAATGCAATACCATCGATTTACACTCAAATAATAAACATTTGCACAAGTGAAATAATTATACTAACAGCCAGTAAACCTTACAAACCAAATTCAGAAATCAAGACTTCTCAGATGAAATTATGACATTAAGCATACAATTTAAACATCAGTAAGATAACAAATTATTGTACTCCCCATAACAAGTCATGTCTTCTTTTCTCCTAGCTGCAAGTGCTTTTCTTATGGTATGACAACAAAGTAACTAAATCAGCAAGGCTAAGTACTACCTTAGGATAACAAATGTTACCATCAGCAAATAAACCTCAAGTTTCTGGAGCCATCCTGGCACATCGCAGGCATACAGCAAATCCCCCAAGTGTGCACACTTACCAAAGCTCCCCAGCTGCTTGTGAGAGAGATTGCACAGTTCTGAACAGCCAAGCAGTGATTACCTTGCAGCTTTTTTGTCTGTGGGTGCATTAGAATTGGTCTGAGCACAACCCTCCGTCCTGAATCGCTAGACACAAGAGACAGCGCCTTTCATACTTGAAACCATGGGGACAAACTTCCAAAAGGCCAGAAGTTTTGCCTTCCTTAAAGGGGAGCGATTTAAGCAATACACTTAAGAACTTAGGTATTTAAAAAAAGTAGAAAGGCACAGCAGAGTTGGTCATGTGTGTTGCATCCACAAAACCAGAATTTTATTTGCATATGCAAATACTTACAGGGTATTTATTTGTTATGAATGAGAACTGTAAGCTCACAATTTAAATAACAAGTTCACTTGCTATTTAAAACTGCAGTCTTAATAACTGCAACTGACAGTTTTACTCCCCAAACACTAAAGAACTTGAGGCTTCTTTCTGTTCTTTATGCAACTGTTTTGCCCTGTTTTTCAAATCCTCTGCCTTGGCATCATTCTTCTCAATGCCATCTCCCAGTTTGTACATTCGACTAGCATTGGCACAAGCCCATATGTGACCCAGCTCACACCCTTTCAGCGAGTACTTCAAAGCATGGTTCATGTCCTTAGGGACCCCTGGAGCTCCCTGGAGGTATATTACACTGAGGTTGAAGCAGCTAGGAGCAAAATTGCCATCACAGGCTTTTGTGTAATAGTCTCTAGCGACAACGGGATCAGGTTTATCGTCGTTTACTTTCCCATCATGGGCCAACAGCCCAACGTTATGACACGCGTTTACTGACTTCTTCCCACCTTTCTCACATGACTTCATAAAAGAGTTGTAGGCAGCTTTCAAATCTGGGTCGAGTCCACCTGTCAGCCAAGAAACCAAAAGATTACTGGAGGGACACGCTAAAACAGATGGGAGCTCTCTGCTTTGCATCATGCTTCCCAGGGCTCTTTGGGAAACACAGCATCCCTCACTTCAGATGCTACAGACAAAATTTTGGACTTGAGATACACTGTAATTGTCTCAATTACAAAGGTTTTGCTAATGTGTTTAAATTAGGAAGCCCTCCTCCACTCACCAGGAATCACACCACCTTACACAGACAAAAAAAAACAAAAACAAAAACAGTCTTTCCACTACTATATCTATGGATTTAACAGCTCACACTAGGCAAAGTATTCTTTTGCCAGTATACCTATAGTAACACTGACTAGTTTTTAATTACAGTAAAAATATCATCTTCCTTCCTAGTATTGTAGTTTGGAAGACGACTCACTAGTTTAACTGCATCCAATTACTGTACCAGCAGATACATGTTGAGCAGACTTGGGGCCTACTTATGTATCTGTAAGCAGTGTTACAGCCTGTAAGTTCATTTCTTCCTTACTTTCTCTAAAATAAAGAACAGCGAGACAAGAAGAAATCAAATTTTAAGAACAGGGCACACAGCAATATTCAGCACTGGACATACTTACCACTTATAGAGACATCATTATAAAGAATAATACACGTGGTTAACCTACAGTTGATTCTTCAAAAGGAGGCAATTTAAGGTTTTCCACCCTTCCCCAGTTTTTATTACGTGACCATAAAAGGGGCAGGACAGGGCGTTCCTCCTTCAAGGACTTGACGGTGTTCAGCACCTTTGGAAAAGCAGGAGCTGCGTTTCCCCCCAGGCATCAGGCACCCTCCCCGTCCCGGTGCCCGTACACAGAGTTCACGCTGCTGGCAGGGCCACCACAGACCGGCCTCCTCTCTGCTGCGGGTGAAGGACCCGCAACCCGCCCAGCACCGCGCTCAGCCACCAGCGGCCCCGGCCCGAGCGTGACGGGCAGCGGGCAGGAGGCGTTTAGCGGCAACCCGAGGGCATGCGAGCAGGAAAGGGAGGCCCCGCCGGGGCACGGGGAA